AGTCTCTCCTCGTAGCTCGTACCCCTCAGTTCGGGTACTAGTCTGGTGGCAAACCTTTGAACCTTTTCCAGATTACTCTTATGATTGACTAGATATGGACTCCATGCTGGAGCTGCATACTCCAGGATTGGTCTGACATATGTGGTATACAAAGTTCTGAATGATTCCTTACACAAGTTTCTAAAGGCCGTTCTTATGTTGGCCAACCGGCATATGCCGCTGATGTTATCCTCTTGATATGGGCTGCAGGGGACAGGTCAGGCGTGATATCAACCCCCAAGTCTTTCTCTCTTCTTTGACTCTTGAAGTATTTCATCTCCCAAATGATACCTTGTATTTGGTCTCCTGCTCCCTACACCTATCTTCATTACATTACATTTGCTTGGGTTAAACTCTAACAACCACTTGTTCGACCATTCCTGCAGCTTGTCCAGGTCTTCTTAAAGTCTCAAGCTGTCCTCCTCTGTCTTAATTCTCATAATTTTGGCGTCGTTAGCAAACATTGAGAGAAATGAGTCTATACCCTCTGGGAGATCATTTACGTATATAAGTAACAGTATAGGTACAGAGCCCTGTGGGACCCCACTAGGACTTCACGCCAATCTGAGGTCTCACCTCTCACTGTAACTCTGCTTTCTATTGCTTAGATACTCCCTTATCCACTGGAGCGCCCTACCAGTTACTCCTGCCTGTTTCTCCAGCTTATTCATCAGCCTCTTATGCGGTATTGTATCAAAGGCTTTCCGACAGTTCAAGAAAATGCAGTTTGCCCAGCCTTCTCTTTCTTGTCTAATCTTTGTCACCTGATCATAGAATTCTATTAAGCTTGTAAGGTAAGATTTACCTTCCCGGAACCCATGTTAGCGATTTGTCACGAAGTCCCTTCTCTCCAGATGTGTTACTAGTTTTTTTCTCACGATCTTCTCCATCACCTTGCATGGTATACAAGTTAAGGACACTGGCCTGTAGTTCAGTGCCTCTTGTCTGTCACCCTTTTTGTATATTGGGACTACATTAGCCGTCTTCCATATTTTTGGTAGGTCTCCCGTCTCCAGTGACCTACTAAACACTGTGGAGAGTGGCAAGCAAAGTGCTTCTGCACACTCTTTCAATACTCATGGTGAGATTCCGTCTGGGCCAATAGCCTTTCTCACGTCCAGATCCCACAAGACTGTTGGATAAGAGCAAGTCTGAAGTTGAAAAGCAACTCATATGCTCCTCTCACAATGTTCTTTATGTGTTCCTCTGGCGACAGCTTACTATCCTAAACCACTTCTTAGGTATCGTTCTTTATTAGAGCTCCGTTTTTCCTTTCCACATAATTTGTAAGTTGTGTGGGGTCTATTTTCTCCGATTTCACAGAACATGACAATTATTCACATTGAATTCCATTTGCCACTTGACGCTCCAAGCACTTATTTTATATATATCGATTTGAAGGGCATTACAATCGTCTGTGTCTCTTGTCTTCCTCAGTATCTTAGCATCAGCCACAAACATGTTCATATAATGCTGTATTCCTTCCGGTAGATGGTTCATGTAGACGATGAACATTACTGGTGCAAGAACTGACCCCTGAGGTACTCCGCTAGTAACACTCATACAGTCAGATACACTGCCTCTGATTACCGCCCTCATCTGTCTGTCAGAAAATGTTTCATATATGTCAAAAGTCTCCCTGTCACCCCCTCCAGCATGTTCTAGTTTCCAGAACAGCCTCTTGTGTGGGACTATTAAAATCCTTTTTTAGGTCCAGATAGACACAGTCAACCCAACCACCTCTTTCCTGTAGTATCTCTGTGGCTCTATCATAAAAACTAAGCAGATTTGTTACTCAGGATCTTCCTGTTCGAAAACCATACTGTTTGTCCGTCATTATGTCATTACTCTCTAGGTGTTCAATCCATAGTTGAATAGTTTTAATTATTGTTTCTAGTGTTTTGACTACCTCGCTTGTTAATGACACGGCTCTATAATTTAGACGTTCCTCTCGACTGCCATTTTTATAGATTGGTACTATGTTTGCCTTTTTCCATATATCTGCTAAGATTTCTGTGCACAAGGATGTCCGGAATATTAATTGGAGTGGAATGCTCAGCTCAGTTGCAGATTCTCGCAGCACCCAAGGTGAAATTCCACCAGGTCCAACCGCTTTATTTCTTCCTATCCCCCTTGAGTAATTTTTCCACTTCGTCTTGAGATATCTCCATGTGTTAGGCGTGTTCTGTTCTGGCGTGTTCTGGGATTGGTATTTGGTCCGGCTCTCTGATATCCTCATTTTGTACAAACACAGTTTGTACACTAATGTTGTCCAAAGGCCTCCTGGTCGTATGACTAGTTCCATCATATCTTGCACGGATTTTCCTCTAATTTCTTCCTCCCACTGCACTTCTCCCAGATAGTCCCTTATCCTCCTGTAGTCCCCTTTCCTGTAGTCAACTCTCATTTCCCAGACATCTTGTTCTTTGGTCACACTTTTAAGTTCCATCATGTAGTCAAAGACTAGGACACAATGGTCACTGGTTCCTAGCGGTATTTCATGTTCCAAATTCTCTAATTCCACACAAATTGTGTGTGTGTGTGTGTGTGTGTGTGTGTGTGTGTGTGTGTGTGTGTGTGTGTGTGTGTGTGTGTGTGTGTGTGTGTGTGTGTATGTGTGTGTGTGTGTGTGTAATTACCTAAGTGTAGTTACAGGATGAGAGCTACGCTCGTGGTGTTCCGTCTTCCAAGCACTCTTTGTCATATAACGCTTTGAAACTACTGACGGTCTTGGCCTCCACCACCTTCTCCCCTAACTTGTTCCAACCGTCTACCACTCTGTTTGCGAAAGTGAATTTTCTTATATTTCTTCGGCATCTGTGTTTAGCTAGTTTATATCTATGACCTCTTGTTCTTAAAGTTCCAGGTCTCAGGAAATCTTCCCTATCGATTTTATCAATTCCTGTTACTATTTTGTATGTAGTGATCATATCACCTCTTTTTCTTCTGTCTTCTAGTTTTGGCATATTTAATGCCTCTAACCTCTCCTCGTAGCTCTTGCCCTTCAGTTCTGGGAGCCACTTAGTAACATGTCTGCACCTTTTCCAGTTTGTTGATGTGCTTCTTAAGATATGGGCACCACACAACTGCTGCATATTCTAGCTTTGGCCTAACAAAAGTCGAGAACAATTTCTTTAGTATATCGCCATCCATGTATTTAAAAGCAATTCTGAAGTTAGAAAGCGTGGCATAGGCTCCTCGCACAATATTCTTTATGTGGTCCTCAGGTGATGGTGTGTGTGTGTGTGTGTGTGTGTGTGTGTGTGTGTGTGTGTGTGTGTGTGTGTGTGTGTGTGTGTGTGTGTGTGTGTGTGTGTGTGTGTGTGTGTGCACGCGCGCGTGTGCGTGTGGCTCTTAGTCAGTGTTGCTGACGTAGCAATACAATGGTTCTCTAGATTTAGTCAATCCCCGTGGCTTAGTGGTAAGACACTCGCCTGGCGTTCCGCGAGCGCTTTGTCTTGGGTTCATATCCTGGCCGGGGAGGATTTACTGGACGCAAATCCTTAACGGTAGCCTCTGTTTACCCAACAGTAAAATGGGTACCTGGTTGTTAAACTATTCTTCGCGGGGGTGGTATTCCAGGGACCATAGTATCAAGGACCTGCCGGACACGCTACGCGTACTGCTGGCTCTACAAGGATGTAACAACTCTTGTATATATATATAAAATAAAATAAGATGGGCTCCGGGAGGGCTAACTTATCCAATTTTAACAGGAACTTCGCTTTATTTTTTTTTGTGAAAATTATCTTAAAACACTGCTCCACACAAGGGAGCCGGTCGGCCGAGCGGACAGCACGCTGGACTTGTGATCCTGTGGTCCTGGGTTCGATCCCAGGCGCCGGCGAGAAACAATGGGCAGAGTTTCTTTCACCCTGATGCCCCTGTTACCTAGCAGTAAAATAGGTACCTGGGAATTAGTCAGTTGTTACGGGCTGCTTCCTGGGGTGTGTAACAAAAAGGAGGCCTGGTCGAGGACCGGGCCGCGGGGACGCTAAGCCCCGAAATCATCTCAAGATAACCTCAAGAAGATAACCTATTGGAGATTAATCGCTAACAATGCTAACATTGCTCAACACGAATACACAACGAAAACCTAGTCATCAAGATATGATTTATGTTAGTACTCAAGACGGTTGTGTTATAGCCAATCACAGGCGAGTAGGCCTCTGACGTCATGTTTGACAGAGCCGGCACTGGCCGCCCTCGAGGCAGGCCTCAGTATCTCACGAGACCAGAGGCAGGAAGGACCTCCGCAGGTCGCATCTATATCTTGTTGCCTTTACCCAATAAACCACCCAAGTGAACTACTGTGTGTTCTCTGCAACAAGCAAGCACTGTACATCTGAAGGCAACGAATATTTATCCCTTACACGGCATACTGTTCTCTTTTCTCAAGAGAAGAGACTCAGGGTGAAGGGTGAAGACTTTAATATTAACTCCAGCACGTTTACCAGGGCGACCACAGTTGCTGTTGTGCCCGGGTCTCTTCCCAGGGCAGCCCCCCCTGCCTTAGTGCCCGGGTCTCTCCCCAGGGCAGCCCCCAGCCTTAGTGCCCGGGTCTCTCCCCAGGGCAGCCCCCTGCCTTAGTGCCCGGGTCTCTCCCCAGGGCAGCCCCCTGCCTTAGTGCCCGGGTCTCTCCCCAGGGCAGCCCCCTGCCTTAGTGCCCGGGTCTCTCCCCAGGGCAGCCCCTTGCCTTAGTGCCCGGGCCTCTCCCCAGGGCAGCCCCCTGCCTTAGTGCCCGGGTCTCTCCCCAGGGCAGCCCCTTGCCTTAGTGCCCGGGTCTCTCCCCAGGGCAGCCCCTGCCTTAGTGCCCGGGTCTCTCCCCAGGGTAGCCCCTTGCCTTAGTGCCCGGGTCTCACCCCAGGGCAGCCCCTTGCCTTAGTGCCCGGGTCTCTCCCCAGGGCAGCCCCTGCCTGTAACATGTCCGGGAGAGGGCCAACGAAGGCAGTAGCACCTACCTGTAGTAGCTCTGGTAGTAGGCCTCGTAGTAGGCGGCGTAGTACTCGCTCAAGAGACGGTTGTAGTCGACGGCTTCATAGTCGCTGGGATCATCTTGGAAATACTCGGCCTCTCCTTCAGCGTAGGTGTACCTCCGGGGGTCCTCCGAGGGCCTGGCGGGGAGAAGCTCGTCAGGAGTGTGTGGCCAAGCAACGAACAAACATGTTTACGGCGTGAAGAAGTCATCTAACGAAAGGAAGTGCAAGCCAATTAGGAGACAGGGAGTCAAGCAGGAGTTAGGAAGTTATTCAAGAGATACAAATCCAATCAGGAGGTAGAAACACAGTCAGGGAGTAGCTAGGGCCAGATTCACGAAACCACTTACGCAAACACTTACGAACCTGTACATCTTTTCTCAATCTTTGGCGGCTTTGTTTCCAATCATTAAACAGTTAATGAGCTCCGAAGCACCAGGAGGCTGTTTATAACAATAACAACAATTGAACGGGAAGTTTTCATGTTTGTAAACTGTTTAATAAATGTAACCAAAGCCGTCAAAGATTGAGGAAAGATGTACACGTTCGTAAGTGCTTGCGTAAGTGCTTTCGTGAATCTGGCCCTAGGAAGTCAGTCAACGGAAAGGAAGAAGCCAGTGAGGAGAGAGGAAGTTAACAATGACTGTAGACACCAGCCAGCCAGAGGTAAGAACGTTCTGTACAGAGCCAGGACACTAACATGTATGACTGCCAACCACGACGACAGGAACGCCACCTATGGATCAGGCACTGCAATTAAGGGATAGACACGTCAGCTAAGGGGTATGGTAGGGGTTACCTTGAGGTTACCTTGAGGTGCTTCCGGGGCTTAGCGTCCCCGCGGCCCGGTCGTCGACCAGGCGTCTAGGGGTGTCAGCAAGGATAAAATGTCTCAGGCTAGAGGCCACACTGGGATAGTCACGTGGCAACACTTGAACAGTCACTTCACGACACAGGAAAAGTCACGTTGCAACTTAAGGTTCATTATGAACTCCATATAAACAAGTGTGCAACAATAGAAATACAAAATATTGAAAAAAGCAAAGAACAGGAAGCAATACCCGATACACAACACAACAATTATATTGACACATGACACATAATGACACATGACACATAATGACACATGACACATATTGACACATGACACATATTGACACATGACACATATTGACACATGACACATAATGACACATGACACATAATGACACATGACGCATAATGACACATGACACATATTGACACATGACACATAATGACACATGACACATAATGACACATGACACATATTGACACATGACACATAATGACACATGACACATAATGACACATGACACATAATGACACATGACACATATTGACACATGACACATGACACATAATGAAAAACAATAAAGGATTTTCCCATATTTATCAAAAAAACAAAAAAAAAAAAACATATCGTAAAACATATTTTAAGTAAGGCATAATGTTACTTTTGACAATTACATAGACTCCTAAATCAACCATATTTTCAGTATATAATATTTAGCAATATTAGAACAAAATTATAATGTTTCAAGCATGCTCTTCATCAATAAAAAAAACACATAAACCCAACTCTGAACTATCACAAAATCACACAATCAAAAAAATATTAAAACTTTATTTAACTTCTAAAACAGTTAAAAAAAAAATAGCTATAGCTTTTATATTTGTTGTTACAAAAGCCGGGGGGGGGGGGGGGGGGGGGGGGGGCGTTAAGTCTCTGGTGTTACCATTGTAACAGTCTCCACACGTGTAACCTCGTTACTACAGCTCACTGACACACGGAACACGGAACAATGGTCCGCTGTACTGTTCCTCAGCCTGAACTAACTACTCGACAAATTACCACTCAAGCACAGTAACTATCACACAATAACACAATTAATGAATTTGTCATAGTTAGACAAAACATTACTAGGAAGGCCTATATTTGAAGCAGTAGTGTATATATATATATACATATATATATATATATATATATATATATATATATATATATATATATATATATATATGTATATATATATATATATATATATATATATATATATATATATATATATATATATATATATATATATATATATATATATATATATATATATATATATACATATATATATATATATATATACATATATATATATATATATATATATATATATATATATATATATATATATATATATATATATATATATATATATATATATATATATATATATATATATATATATATATATATATATATATATATATATATATATATATATACCGTACGCTGTGAGAGGGAAGTTACGACTGTTATATGTAACCACAAGACATTTCAAGACTCAAGTCTTGACACAGACTTACAAGTCGCCGTCCGAGGCATAGCCAGCCACCTCCTCCATAGCGAGAGACCTTAGGGGGAGGTGAGAAACATTGGTCACCTCCTCGTTACTCTCACAACCTTCCACCTCCTTAATTACCTCCTACGTAACGTATAACAAGATGCAGAGTCTAGTATAAACAGCTGTTACATGACCCGCCATCGTGGGTCCATTCACACATGTTTATATAAACAATAAAATAAGCAAAAATCTGCTATCAGAATAATAACAAATTCTGCTTTCAGACAACACTCAGCCCCCTTATTTAACTCCCTAGACATGCTAAACATAATCTCACTCCACAAATTCTCTTGTGTCAACTGCATTTACAAAACCCTGTTCTTAAATGCAAATCCTGCTCTGAAACTCTCCCTGGACAGATGTAATAGGACCCATTATCACCACACCAGAAATAAATATCTCTTGGATATCCCCAGGGTCAAACTTAATCTGTGTAAACACTCTATGCAAATTAAGGGACCTAGTCTATGGAACTCACTCCCTAGTGAATTGAAAAACTGTAAAACTTTTGCCTTATTTAAAAGCAAAACCAAAAAGTACCTAATTTCATCTTCATAGTTTTTTACCTTGTTGCTTTAACATTGCACTGTATCTATTGCTACCCCAATCTCCCAATCTTTATCTACCCAATCCGAACAACTTTACCATTGTAATCATTGCTGTCTTCTTATATGTGCTATCAATCTGCTGTATGGTGCCTATTAATCTTGTTTAAATTACCAATCAAGCTGTCAATGTAATCAATCAGAGCTTTAATATACCAATGTGCTTTAATATACTTACTAATCTCTCTAATCTCATTTTTTTCTTGCAATGTATCTGTTATCCTTTTATTAATTCTGCTAGAATTTATCTACTTAAAATTATCTGTTAGATTAAGGACCTGCCCGAAACGCTGCGCATTCTAGTGGCTTTACAAGATTGTAAATAATATGCTATGTATTCTCACAAACCCAATGTACCTTCTTCTATATAAATAAATAAATAAATAAATAAATAAATAAATAAATAAATAAATAAATAAATAAATAAATAAAATAAATAACAATTATATTGGGTACCCCTTATACCCTATAGGGGGTACCCTATATATTGCACCAGAGGGTACCACCTCTGGTGCAACTGTAGGGACCCATAGCCTCGAAGAAGAAAATAAAGAGTATTCAGAGAAGACCTTGTGGATTCTCACTGAACACTTTAATCTTTTCTTCTCCTACCACAATTTACAAAATATTGTTTAGAAGTTTTTAAGAGACTCGTACATATGCAAATTATTACATTTCATGTATACTTTTTACAACTTTACCACATGTAAACCTTTGACAGCTTCACCACATGTAAACATTTGACAGCTTCACCACATGTAAACCTTTGACAGCTTCTCCACATGTAAACCTTTGACAGCTTCACCACATGTAAACCTTTGACAGCTTCACCACATGTAAACCTTTGACAGCTTCACCACATGTAAACCTTTGACAGCTTCACCACATGTAAACCTTTGACAGCTTCACCACATGTAAACCTTTGACAGCTTCACCACATGTAAACCTTTGACAGCTTCACCACATGTAAACCTTTGACAGCTTCACCACAAGTAAACCTGACAGCTTCACCACATGTAAACCTTTGACAGTTTTTTTTTTTTTTTTTTTTTTTTTTTTTTTTTTTTTTTTTATTATTTTCTACCACAGACGTGGCCAGACATTTACAATGCTAACCAGCATATATACATTTTCTTCTGTCCTCCATGGACAGGGTTAGAGAAGTGTTAAACATACAGTTCAAGGGTTTATTGAACACTCAACCACAGAAGGTGATTCGGTGCTTTTAAAATGCTAAGCTAACCTACATACGTAAATACAAAGATACACAGATTTACGTATGCCCTACATAAAGTATTAGATGTGTCTTTTACATAGTGTCATTAATGTACATTCACAAAGGTGAAATGTAATTCTGATCAGCTTCCATATTTGCTTTATACCCATACATATACATACACACACACACATACACATACATATATACACACATACATGCATTCACATACATTTGTCTCATTTACCCTGACAGGGTGAGGTAGCTGATAAAGAAACTAGTGTGCAATTAAGCACTTAATCACTGAAGGTGATGAAGGTGCTTTTACAAGCTCAGGTTATATAGTTACATCACATACATACATTGTATGATTGATACATTACATGGTCAATTTTGGATACAAGTCCAATATATCATCAAGTGTTCCAGTACTCATATAGTAACTACAGAGTTCAGCATACCTTAGCCCAGGAGGGCGAAAGTCAGTCAGTATGGGACATTCTACAATATAATGTTCAAGAGAGTGCATGTTTTCTCTTTCACAAAGTTGACACATTGTGTACTCGACATTTGGGTTTTGAGAAAGCTGCCAGATACGTCTATATCCCAGGCGTATTCTGGCCACTATAACATCACATTGCCGGGTTCTTGTTCTATTAGTCCCATATGTGAATGTCTCCTCACGATATCTATCATAATATTTAATGCTACAACTTTCAGGTCTTTGAGAATTTGTTAGGTCGGTGAGATTTTCATTAGATATTTGTTTAAGTATTCTCTTTGTCACTGCTAATGAAACACCCATATCAATTTCTACCACTGGTTTTCTGCAAGCTGACTTAGCAAGCATATCAACAGTGTCATGCCTTGAGATGCCAACATGTGATGGTATCCATAGGAATTTAATCTCAAATCTGTTTTCTTTGGCAGCTAAAACATTCATTCGAATATCACTGACTATTTTCTGGGTGTCACTACTATGTGCGTTCAATGCCAGGAGTGCACTCTGCGAGTCACAGTATATAAGTCCACTGCCTTTGTCTTTTAAAAATTCAGTGGCAAGGTATATGCCTGCAAGTTCGGTTTGAGTTGTACTTGCCCAGTCATTGACGCGCTTCATTGCTGTATGTACGAGAGAAGATTGTTCAAATATGTTACATGCACATCCGGTACATCGTCCACCTTCTTCTACAGAGCCGTCGGTATAGCACTGATAAACATCGTTACCCATACTCTGAGTACTTTCAGTGATGCTTTTCAGTGTTAACTGTTTTAACAATGTAGTGTGCACACTATCTTTCTTGGGCGCATTTACAAAATCAACTGATAGATCCCAGTTATCCCATGGAGTAATTGGCTGATTAATCATTAGTCGAGTTGGGTACATATTTAATATTTTGATGGAGTTGGCTACCTTGTAGAACCAATATACATAATCAGATTTCGTTCTTCTTCTATAGACCTCAGGTGAGTGTAGCATATTAGAAAGTTTAGCTTGAAACTTCATGTGTTGTCTAGATCTACTCAATGCCTTCACGCCGAAAACTGTGCTAATAGACAAGATTCTCTCACTTATGGTAGGTAATTTTAACTCTGCTCTCATGTTAACTATTCTCGTGGACTTTGGAGCCCCAAGGATGAGACGCATAGCTTCATTTTGCAAGGTTTCAAGAGATTTCAGCTCTTTGTCAGTATACAGTGTGAGATGTAGAGCATTGTAGTCAATCACAGAGCGTATAAATGATACATAAAACATTCTAGCAAGTCTCACGTTAAGCCCATGATTGACACCAACAAGGACCCGCAAGGGCTTTAATCTCTCCCAAAGTCTCCTCTTGAGAGAAGAAAGGTACCCAGGGTCGTTAATGGGGACACCAAGGTATCTGTAAGACTCGCAGTTCTCAAGTGCTCGCCCATCTATATGATAATTGGGTGGTGGAATACCACATGGAATGAGGGCACGAGTTTTCTGTACAGAGATAAGGAGGCCACATTCCTCAGCTCTAGTAGCAAAAGCGTCGAGCAGAACTTGCATTCTAGGCTCGGTGGCAGCCTGTAAACATATATCATCAGCATAACAAATGACAGTGTCTTCATTATTAGTTGGAAGATCTTTAATAAGTTTATGCATCAGAACGTTGAACAATAAGGGACTGAGGACCCCTCCTTGTGGAGTTCCCAGTTCAAAGTGTTTGCTCTCTGTGCTTTTAACACCATTAAACAAAACATATGCTGTTCGATTAGACAAATAGCCCTTTATCCATTTCAGTAATTTTCCTTGTATTCCCAGCTCGGCAAGCTGTTCCAGTATGATTCCTCTGTTTGCTGTATCAAAAGCTGCTGCTAGGTCGATGAAGACTGTTTGGGGGGAAGCTTCAATATGTGCGAAGTACTCAGCAAAACAGTGTTGTGTACTGAGCCCAGGCATAAATCCAAACAGTTGGGGTGACAGGTGCCCCTGTATACGATACATGAGTCGGTTAAGAACAATACGTTCAAGCACTTTACAAACACACGATGTTAAAGATATGGGTCTATAATTATCTGAGTGTGGTTTGGGGATAGGAACAATGACACTCTTTGTCCAAGCATCAGGTAATACTCCTTCACGTAAACTCATTCTGTACAACACTAATAGTGGATTACCTGGTACGTGTGAGACTAATCTCAGTAGACTGTAAGTAATACCATCCTCTCCAGGAGCAGTTGATTTTCCCATCTTTAGTGCATGATTTAATTCCCATTCAGTTACATCATTAAGGTCCGACACGTCGATAGCTGTACAGGCAAGATTGATGGTTCGTTGTCTGTTGGGGCGTGTGTCATCAAGTTTGTGCTGTATGTTAATTGGGAGTGAGTCGTAGCTCGATGTTATTGCCCATTGATCAAGGAGAATGTTTGCTTGTTCTAGTGGGCTGTGGTGCAGCGGTTTGGTTGGGCTGCTTCTAGAGATTTTCCGTATCTTTTCCCAAACTTCAACAAGTGTTGTTTGCTCATTTATACTTTGTAGGAACTCTTCCCAATGTTTATTACGTATGACGTTGCTCATGTCTCTCACCTCTCTATTTGCAACTAGAAATGCATGCAGGTCACCTTGTGCTTTGGTTCGTTTGTACGTATCTCCAAGTTGCTTTACTCGTTCATGTTCTTTAACAAATACGGGGTCAAGGACCCACTTGGGTGGTGGCA